AACCTTCATTTTGGTTGCTTGCTGGTGTGTTTCGGGTCATTTGTCCTGCTACATAATCCGAGTGCGCTTGAGGTTGAGGTTGGGAACTGACGGCCGGACATTCTCCTTCAGGATTTTCTGGTAGAGCGCAGAATTCATGGTTCCATCAATTTTGGCAAGTCATACAGGTCCTGAACCCAGACCATCACACTACCACCACCATGTTTCACAGTTGGGATGATGTTCTTTTTATGAAATGCTGTGTTAGTTTACACCAGATGGAACGGGACGCACACCTTCTAAAAGCTTCAACTTTTGTCTCATCAGTCCACAGAATATTTGCCCAAAAGTCTTGGGGATAATCCAGATGTTTTTTGGCAAATGTGAGGTGAGTCTTTGTGTTCTTTTGTGGTCAGCGGTGGCTTTGGCCTTGGACCTCTCCCATGGAGGCCATGTATGCCCGGTCTCTTTCTTATTGTTACCTGAGGCAAGTGAGGCCTGCAGTTTTTTTTAGATGTCGTTCTGGGTTCTTTTATGACCTCCTGGATGAGTCGTCGTCATGCTCTTGAAATCACTTTGGCAGGTCGGCCACTCCTGGGGAGCTTCACCACTGTTCCAAGTTTTCTCCATCTGTGGATAATGGCTCTCACCGTGATTCGCTGGAGTCCCAAAGCCTTAGAAATGGCTTTGTAACCCTTTCCAGACCGATACATGGCAATGACTTTGTTTCTCATCTGTTCTTGAATTTCTTTTAGATCACGGAATGATGTGTTGCTTTTTGAGATCTATTAGCGTGCTTCACTTTGTCAAACAGCTTTGATTTAAGTGATTTCTTGATTCAACAGGTCTGGCAGTAATCAGGCTTGAGTGTGGCAAGTTAAATTTAATTGAGCATTCCAAAAAATGTGGATAATCGCAGTTTATTCATGATTTAGCAAGGGGGGGGGGGGCAATTACTTTTTCACATAGGGCCAGGCAGCTTTTTTTTCCTTTTTAGTAAATGAAATCATCATTTAAAAAACTGCATTTTGTATTTACTCTGAAAATCTTTGTGTGATATTAAAATGTGCTTGATGATCTGATTCATTTAGGTATGACAATTATGCACAAAATAAAAAAAAAAATCAGGAAGGGGCAAATACTTTTTCCCAGCACTGTATGTGAAATCTGAACTCTGGGATAATAAATCCATCGGTCACGTGTCGTCTTCTTGAATCTCCGTGAGATTTGTGTATTTCTTCCAGATCTGTACAGCAATCCAGTGTGAGACTTCCTGGAATAAAGACCGCTCACTGCTGCGCTCTCTCCTTGTGCAGGGGGACTGGTCTTGCCCACGCCCCCTCCTGTAGATTTCTGTAGTGGACGCAGCCTGCTGGGCCCCTCCCACAGCTCTGCTCTCTCTCCTTGTGCAGGGGGACTGGTCTTGCCCACGCCCCCTCCTGTAGATTTCTGTAGTGGACGCAGCCTGCTGGGCCCCTCCCACAGCTCTGCTCTCTCTCCTTGTGCAGGGGGACTGGTCTTGTCTACGCCCCCCTCCTGTAGATTTCTGTAGTGGACGCAGCCTGCTGGGCCCCTCCCACAGCTCTGCTCTCTCTCCTTGTGCAGGGGGACTGGTCTTGCCCACGCCCCCCTCCTGTAGATTTCTGTAGTGGACGCAGCCTGCTGGGCCCCTCCCACAGCTCTGCTCTCTCTCCTTGTGCAGGGGGGCTGGTCTTGTCTACGCCCCCCTCCTGTAGATTTCTGTAGTGGACGCAGCCTGCTGGGCCCCTCCCACAGCTCTGCTCTCTCTCCTTGTGCAGGGGGACTGGTCTTGTCTACGCCCCCCTCCTGTAGATTTCTGTAGTGGACGCAGCCTGCTGGGCCCCTCCCACAGCTCTGCTCTCTCTCCTTGTGCAGGGGGGCTGGTCTTGTCCACGCCCCCTCCTGTAGATTTCTGTAGTGGACGCAGCCTGCTGGGCCCCTCCCACAGCTCTGCTCTCTCTCCTTGTGCAGGGGGGCTGGTCTTGTCTACGCCCCCCTCCTGTAGATTTCTGTAGTGGACGCAGCCTGCTGGGCCCCTCCCACAGCTCTGCTCTCTCTCCTTGTGCAGGGGGACTGGTCTTGCCCACGCCCCCTCCTGTAGATTTCTGTAGTGGACGCAGCCTGCTGGACCCCTCCCACAGCTCTGCTCTCTCTCCTTGTGCAGGGGGGCTGGTTTTGCCTTTTTTTTTTTTTTTTGTAATTTTTTCTTGTTGTGTTTATATATAATATAATGTAGATTTTTTTATATTTTTATTAGTAATCATATTATAAATATTTATTTTTGGTCCTCACACCTATATATCTTATGTATATAAATAGTAAAATATATTTATTATTTTCCTGCACTTCCTGTTTGTATCCAAAGGCAACCCTTTATTTTTTGTTTTTTTTGTTTTAGAGGGTTAGAACTAGTTAGTAGTTGTTGTTGTTGGGTTTTTTTTTTTTTTGTTTTTTTTTTTACTGTCATGTCCCTGCTTGCTCAGATGCACCCCATTTGTCCTGGTGGCTATTATCACGGGGAGTAAAAAGTGAGGAAAGATCAAAAATGAGGAGTTGTCACCATACCAGGAATAGATGAGGAATCTTCCAATGGGGACAATAGCTCTGGTGACAACTAAGCGGGGATCCCCCCCCCCCAATGGTAGGGGGGGGGGCCGGTCTTGCCTATGCACTTTTTTTTTGTAGTTTTCTCTTGTGTTCTATATACAGTAATATACTGTATATTTTTTATATTATTATTATTAGTAATCATAATTATAAATATTTATTTTTGGTCCTCACACACAAACATGGACCTATATATCTTATAAATTTACCACAAATAAATAATAAAATATATTTATTATTTTTTTTTACTTCCTGTTAGGATCCAAAGCCAACCCTTCTTCTTCTTTCTTTTTTTTTTTTTTTTAGAAGGTTAGAACCAAGTAGTAGTTGTGGGTTTTTGCTTTTTTGTGATTTTTTTACGGTCTGTGTCCCCGCTTGCTCAGATGCACCCCATTTGTCCTGGTGGTTATTATCACGGGATATTATAAAAAATGAGGAGTTGTCACCATACCGGGAATAGATGAGGAATCTTCCAATGGGGACAATAGTTCTGGTGACAACTAAACGGGGATTTCCCCCCAACCAATGGTAGTGGGGGCTGGTCTTGCCTATGCACTTTTTTTTTTTTTGTAGTTTTCTCTTGAGTGTTATATATAATATATTGTATGTTTATTATATTATTATTAGTAATCATATTATAAATATTTATTTTTGGTCCTCACACACAAACCCATATATCTTATATATTCACCCCAAATGATAAAATATATTTATTCTCCTTCCTTCACTTCCTGTTTGGTGGATCCAAAGCCAACCTTTTTTTTTTTCTTTTTTTTGTTTTAGAGGATTAGAACCAGTCAGTAGTAGTAGTTGTTGTTGTTGTGGGTTTTTTGTTTTTTTTTTGGGGGGGGGGGGGGTTTACGATCTGTGTCCCATCTGATGCACCCCAATTTTCCTGGTGGCTATTATCACGGGGAGTAAAAAGTGAGGAAAGATCCAAAATGCAGAGTTGTCACCTTCCCAGGGATAGATGAGGAATCTTCCAATGGGGACACTAGTTGTGGTGACAACTAAGCGGGGATCCCCCCCCCCCATGGTGTTTTGTAACCCTTTCCTACTTTATTCAAAACCAAAAAATGAAAAGAAAAACTGGTTTAAGATCCACGTTCATTGCCCTCATGTAGGGTCCAGGGCAGCCAAGGAGTTAATGGCGTGGCGTGGCGCGTCCTGTCCGCGCAGCTCGTCGGCGCTCAGGCAGAAGCGCACGGTTTAGGAGTGAATTAGTAAAGTAAACATTCTGCCTTCATGGCTCAGCCGGGGGAATGTCACGTTTGGTTTGGTTCTTGGCTCCCCGTCCCGTATCTTCTCCCAGGCCGTCCCCTCCGGGCGCAGGTGCCTAGGCTCACCTCAGTAGCTTATCTAAACAGCGCCTTTCCGAGCGATTTGTGTGTTCATCCGACTCGCTGCTTCCCGAGGACGGCCGGGGACAACCTTGGAATGACGCGGTCTGGTTCAAAGACGGTTCAGACACACTGGGGGGGGCATCTACCTTATTGGGGGCACACCAGGTTATAGAGCTCAACTCCGGGCAGATATATATATATATATATATATATATATATATATATAGACACAAATCAATGCAGAATTATTAATACCTGATGTGACCTGGGCCCTATACAGCAGAGCTTGGAGGGGGGGGGGGGAGCAGCACAGGAAGCTGTCGGTGCTGACAGCAGGAGAGTGCGGAGTGATGGGGGGAGATGAGCTCTGCTGATTCTTTACTGGACACTGTATATGATACAATTGGCTGCATATTTCTATTTCTTTTGCTGCTCCAGATCTGATGAGCAATAAAGACCGGACCAAAGTTCTATTATCTCTGCGCCCGACTGAGAAATTGCAAAAAAACTTTGGCTTTAGAGAAACGTTAAGGCTACGTTCACACTGGCTTTGTCAGCAGGCGTCAGACGGGCGTTTGGGAAGCATTTTTAAATTCTGCACATGGCAGCACACAGCGCTGTTCACACTGAAGCATTAGCATTGCAGCAAAACTGACGCCTCATGTCCAGTCAGGAGGAGTTGAAGCCTCCCATTCGAGTCTATGGTGGCGCTCCTCAAACGCCTGGCAGGTGTTTGCGGGACATTTGTGACGCGGTTGTGAGGTGTTTGCGGAGTGTTATACCATTAAACTTCATTGTAGGTGTTTGTGGTGCGGTTTTAATGCTTGGCAAACGCCTATCAAACGGCTCAAAAATGCGCATAGGGTGAATTGAGGAGCCTTCGAGGAGTGTTAAAAATGCTTCCCAAACGCCAGTCTGACGCCTGTCATCCGCTATAGGGGCAAGAGTTAGAAATAAGTCGTGTGAACGAGCCATACAGGCTTCTGACTTTTCTCTGACTTTCCCAATGTACACTGGCTTCCAATCAGTAGCTTAGAGCTTGAATCCGACTTCTGTCCTCCCCTTCAGTCTTGCACAGGTGTACCTGCTCCTCCCCTTTCAGTCCTGCACAGGTGTAACGGCTCCTCCCCTTCAGTCTTGCACAGGTGTATCGGCTCCCCCCCTTCTGTCTTGCACAGGTGTACTGGCTCCTCCCCTTCAGTCTTGCACAGGTGTATCGGCTCCTCCCCTTCAGTCTTGTACAGGTGTACCGGCTCCTCCCCTTCAGTCTTGCACAGGTGTAAGGGCTCCTCCCCTTCAGTCTTGCACAGGTGTACCGGCTCCTCCCCTTCAGTCTTGCAGGGTAAGATCCTACATCTTTGGGGGGTGGACTAGAAGCGACTCTAAAGTGCACTTTTTTGTACATTTAAGTGGTCTTGTTTTTGCACACCACCGCAGATTCAAAACATTAGCATATTTATAATGGGGGGGGGGGGGTACAGGAGAAACCAAACTGTTTGTTGAACCTCTCTCTGGTGCTGCCCGGCCGGTAGCTGAATATTTCTGGTTCTGCTCGGCCGGTTGTTGAATCTCTTCCTTTCTGGCTGGTTGTTTTAATCTCTCTCTTTCTAGCTGGTCATTGAATCTCTGGTTCTGCCCAGCCGGTCGCTGAATATTTCTGATTCTTGAATCTCTCTGGTTCAGGGTGGCCGTTCATTGAATCTCTATCTTTCTGGCTGGTCAATGAATCCCTTTCTTCCCGACCAGTTGCTGAATCTCTCTGGTTCTGCCCGGCCAGTTGTTGAATCTCTCTGGTTCTGCCCGGCCAGTTGTTGAATCTCTCTGGTTCTGCCCGGCCAGTTGTTGAATCTCTCTGGTTCTGCCCGGCCAGTTGTTGAATCTCTCTGGTTCTGCCCGGCTGGTTGTTGAATCTCTCTTTCTGGCTGGTTATTGAATCTCTCTGGTTCCGCCCGGCCAGTCGTTGAATCCCTCTGGTTCTGCCCGGCCGGCCTTTGAATCTCTGTTCCGTGCGGATGTTTGCGGTTGGGAAATGCGTTGTTTGCGGGGATTATGTGCGCACAGTACGGCGTTGGGATGGCGCAGCCACTTCCAGCGCGGAGGAACACGTCCGTCCCTCGGAATGCTCCCGTCCCCCTCCACCTCTCTGCCCTGACATGCCACAAAGGGATTTCTCGTATTTACCTGGAAGATAAGGGGTTCTCGCAGGTTCCACTTCTCGCAGTTAGCGATCTTTACCTGCCAGTGAACCCGTGAGGAGCATTCATGCAGAATCCCGTTCCGGATTGTCCAATGTTGTCTCCAATCTTCCCAGATAAAGATTTAAAGGGCGACTCCGGGCTCTCTGCTCCCCCTCCCCCCTTGGTTGTGTTTATTGCTAGCCTTTTCTGACGTCTGCAGACCAGTCATGTGATGTCTTAGGGACCACTTTCTTTTCTCCTCTGTGTTGGACATCCTCCTCACTGATTGGCTCTTCTCCGGGATGGGCGGTCCTCACTGACGCAGAGCGCTGCACTGGCATGATGAGGTCACCACTCTATGTACAGGTACACTGTGAGTGACAGGTGCTGGGGCGATGCTCCTCCTAGGGGCGGGGCTATGACACCCAGTACTCACAGTATGTCCTCAGTCTTTGGGTTTAGGGATGGCTGAAGCATCATTCCACTCCAAAGAATGAGGACATCTTGTGGCGAAGAAGAAGTACTGCAAGCATTGAGGTTTTGACAGCTCCAGAGGAGAGAAATGCCGACCAGCATTTCCCTATTTACATGTGATCAGCTGTGATTGGACACAGCTGATCACATGACCGAGCCGACATCTTCGGCTCTTTCCGTTGATCGTGATGAAGGAACACAACGCACCACCGATCGCCACGCACGCGCGGTTAGAGTGGGAGGACGTCATATGACCTCCCAGAACAAGAGAACCGCCATATAAGGTAATGATGGACGGGAGGCGATTAAATTTCAACCAAATTTCTCGTGCGTTTTCTGAAGACTTTATTGCAACTTGTGAAGATTTTCAACAATTTCTTGCAATTTGCCGCGTGATTTGTATTATATTCTATGTATGTGAAATCGCAACAAAACTGCAGAAAAACGAATGCAAGAATGACTTTGGAAACGGCGCCGCATCAAATCGCACGTGTTAAGACGCCGACATTCACATTCATTAGATGCGATTTCAATTTGCAAATAGCACCTGAAATTGCGCTGGTGTGACCGGACACTAAACGCTCCTAAATACATGCACTGTAAAAACGCTAAGAAAACGCAAACGCTCCTACATGCTATCACCTGGTTTCTGTGCGATTTCCACACCACATCCTAATCGCACCCCGTTCATGCAAACCGCTGCGGGGGTGTATTTTAAGTTAACACCCCGAAATCAGTTTGCAAAGCTCAGTGCGACGTGCAGAATTGGATCGCATTAGGTGTGAACATCCATGCGATCTGATTCTAGTGCGGACTAAAAAAGGGTCCTGCACTTGTTTGGAGCGGATGTGGTGCGATTTGAGGCGTACACAATGTTTTCACTTGTTTGGAGGGGATGCGGTGCGATTTGAGGCGTACAAAATGTTTTCACTTGTTTGGAGGGGATGCGGTGCGATTTGAGGCGTACACAATGTTTTCACTTGTTTGGAGCGGATGCGGTGCGATTTGAGGCGTACACAATGTTTTCACTTGTTTGGAGCGGATGCGGTGCGATTTGAGGCGTACACAATGTTTTCACTTGTTTGGAGCGGATGCGGTGCGATTTGAGGCGTACACAATGTTTTCACTTGTTTGGAGCGGATGCGGTGCGATTTGAGGCGTACAAAATGTTTTCACTTGTTTGGAGCGGATGCGGTGCGATTTGAGGCGTACACAATGTCTTCACTTGTTTGGAGCGGATGTGGTGCGATTTGAGGCGTACACAATGTTTTCACTTGTTTGGAGCGGATGCGGGGCGATTTGAGGCGTACACAATGTTTTCACTTGTTTGGAGCGGATGTGGTGCGATTTGAGGCGTACACAATGTTTTCACTTGTTTGGAGCGGATGCGGTGCGATTTGAGGCGTACACAATGTTTTCACTTGTTTGGAGGGGATGCGGGGCGATTTCAGGCGTACACAATGGTTTCACTTGTTTGGAGCGGATGCGGTGCGATTTGAGGCGTACACAATGTTTTCACTTGTTTGGAGCGGATGTGGTGCGATTTGAGGCGTACACAATGTTTTCACTTGTTTGGAGCGGATGTGGTGCGATTTGAGGCGTACACAATGTTTTCACTTGTTTGGAGCGGATGCGGTGCGATTTGAGGCGTACACAATGTTTTCACTTGTTTGGAGCGGATGCGGTGCGATTTGAGGCGTACACAATGTTTTCACTTGTTTGGAGGGGATGTGGGGCGATTTGAGGCGTACACAATGTTTTCACTTGTTTGGAGCGGATGTGGTGCGATTTGAGGCGTACACAATGGTTTCACTTGTTTGGAGCGGATGCGGTGCGATTTGAGGCGTACACAATGTTTTCACTTGTTTGGAGGGGATGTGGTGCGATTTGAGGCGTACACAATGTTTTCACTTGTTTGGAGCGGATGCGGTGCGATTTGAGGCGTACACAATGTTTTCACTTGTTTGGAGGGGATGTGGGGCGATTTGAGGCGTACACAATGTCTTCACTTGTTTGGAGCGGATGCGGTGCGATTTGAGGCGTACACAATGTTTTCACTTGTTTGGAGGGGATGCGGGGCGATTTGAGGCGTACACAATGTTTTCACTTGTTTGGAGCGGATGCGGTGCGATTTGAGGCGTACACAATGTTTTCACTTGTTTGGAGCGGATGCGGTGCGATTTGAGGCGTACACAATGTTTTCACTTGTTTGGGGCGGATGCGGTGCGATTTGAGGCGTACACAATGTTTTCACTTGTTTGGAGCGGATGCGGGGCGATTTGAGGCGTACACAATGTTTTCACTTGTTTGGAGGGGATGTGGTGCGATTTGAGGCGTACACAATGTTTTCACTTGTTTGGGGCGGATGCGGTGCGATTTGAGGCGTACACAATGTTTTCACTTGTTTGGAGGGGATGTGGTGCGATTTGAGGCGTACACAATGTTTTCACTTGTTTGGGGCGGATGCGGTGCGATTTGAGGCGTACACAATGTTTGGCTCAGATTGCACCACATTGAAATGCAGCGCAGTCCCTGAGCGAATCGCATGCGATGTGCCAAGTGTGAACTCGGGTTCAAGGAGGATTGCAAGTCACTTGCTTTTCTGAAATTCCTGCAAATGACTATGAACATCTGGATTCACGAATCGCACAAATGTTAAAAAAAAAATGTCGCCGTGGCGAGAACGCGAGTAATCCATGCGATTTGCTCCTCTCTGCTATCCGGACGCGCAGTTTGAGGATCGCTGGGAGTCGGGGAGGACACGGTGTAAACAGCGGCGTTGCCAAGACGGCTCCGACTTTACAGCCGCCCTTCTCCCTAAGCAACCAAACTGAAGAATAACAGTGCAGGTGAGTCACAGGGGCCCCAGACACGGGCCCCCCCCACCCCCACCCCACCCCCGTGAGCCATGCCCGGGGTATGCCAATAAAATACAGGTGTCAGACAGGGAAGATGCAAAGGGGGGGGCACACTGTAAATTCAGCGGTGGGGGGAGGGGAGCAGGGTGGTCAGGTGGGTGATCTCATACATGTGATCTCATTCCTCAGCAAGTTTCCTTATTGTTACATTGTATCTCCGTGTCCTTCCTGACTGTATTGTTACATTGTATCTCCGTGTCCTTCCTGACTGTATCGTTACATTGTATCTCCGTGTCCTTCCTGTCTGTATTGTTACATTGTATCTCCGTGTCCTTCCTGTCTGTATCGTTACATTGTATCTCCGTGTCCTTCCTGTCTGTATCGTTACATTGTATCTCCGTGTCCTTCCTGTCTGTATCGTTACATTGTATCTCCGTGTCCTTCCTGACTGTATCGTTACATTGTATCTCCGTGTCCTTCCTGACTGTATTGTTACATTGTATCTCCGTGTCCTTCCCGTCTGTATTGTTACATTGTATCTCCGTGTCCTTCCCGTCTGTATTGTTACATTGTATCTCCGTGTCCTTCCTGTCTGTATTGTTACATTGTATCTCCGTGTCCTTCCTGTCTGTATTGTTACATTGTATCTCTGTGTCCTTCCTGTCTGTATTGTTACATTGTATCTCCGTGTCCTGCCTGTCTGTATTGTTACATTGTATCTCTCTGCCCTTCCTGTCTGTATTGTTACATTGTATCTCCGTGTCCTTC